TAATCTTGTAAATTCAATGCCTCAGCGTTGTAGGGAGGTTATTGAAAAAAATGGTGAACGAATATCATATTAATTTTGTTTTAATAAATTTACTACTTCTCAGCTTTAAAATGACGCATTAAACATTTTAATTGATGCAATACTTGTAAACCTATCGTGATTTTAAAAAAGTTCATTTTTTTGCACACCACTGTATATAAATTATTTTTTGTAATATTAAATAATATAAATACTTTAAATGTATAATAATTCCTATTCTTTAATATAAATTAAATTTAAAATTTATATACAAATTTAAGTAAAAATAATCTATTAAATTAAATAAAATTTATTTTATAATGAGAATTATACAATATAATAAATTTATTATAATAATAATAATCTGCTTTCTGTTATAAATAGGTTTTTTTATAATAATAATATGATAATTAATATAGTATTATCATCACTGGACAATAAATAATAGACAATATTAGACAAAAAATACTATCTATTATTTATTGATCAAGCAATAAATATATAATAAAGGTATCTATTGTTATTCATTAAGCTTACTTATATACAATTAATAAAAAAAAACATATTTAAAATTTACTATTATTTTATTTATTTTAATTATTATCAAAAATATTATACTATGCTTAAAAATAAAATATCTAAATTAGAAATAAACAAATCTGTTTTATTTAATATATTATATAATTTAAGTTTAATTATATTATAATTTTTTAATTTATAATACAGATTTTTTATTTAGAATTTTGTGATCATCAATTTTTAATTAAAACAAATAAATATTTAAATTTAATTTAAAATTACTAATAAATTGTTATTTTATAATTGTTGTTATAATATGAAATTTTAATAATGCTAAAATTCTATTAATTTTTTAAGTTCATGTTCAGTCAAAAAATTTTAACAAGTTTGAAAATATTTATAACTATAATATTAAGTATTTGTAAATTTATTATTTTTATTTTATAATAAAAAATCTTATCCTATATATCTAATATAAAGTTTTCTTAATATTTTTATTTGCTTTTTCATTATGAAGTACTTCAAACTATAAAGTTAATAGATATAGCATTTTTCCTCTAGTATGTTTCATTATATTTAAAAAGAGTTTATTCTAATTCTTTCTATTTAAGTTTATATCATTATAATAGATATAATGAACATAATAGATAATATAATAGATATAATAGAAATGTATTTATTATCCTTTATTATACCAATCTATATATCCATTACCAATACTAAATTAATATCAATATTTACCATCATATTTTATTTTCTTAAACTAAAATTATTTTATCATATAATTTATTATATATATTTTATTTTATTATAAATAAGCTTATCTTTATATTTAATTTTCTATATACATTTTAAAACTAATTTATTATTATGAACTTTAATAAATTAGTTATAAAAATATTAGATATAAGTTTTTTGATATAGTATATATTAAAAAGTTTCTTTTTAATAAAGTTTTTTAGAAGTAATTCTTTTTTTTTATGGTTAAAGTAACTTAATTTAGAAAATAGAAAGCAGAAATTTGATATAAATTTTTATATACATAAAAAAGTGATTGCATTAATTCGTAATTTACTAATCATTAATAATACTAACTATAATGATCTACAATAAATTTCCAGGATAATTAGCATAATAAATTGTTATATGGTACCAGAATCTCTCACTGCAAACTCACATTTATTATGTCCAAGCGTTATAATATTTTTGTAACACTTATTTCAAGTAAATCTATTATTTCCATTTATATTTTGGTTTAAATGTGCAAGAATGGAAATTTCAAATACTAAAAAATAACAAAAAAAATGAAAATTTCTGGTTTTCAATTAGAGTTAGTATAAAAACTCAGGTTGAACTTAACGGTAAAGTGTTTATTACACGTATAATTGAAAATAATTTAAAACCAGACTATTGCTACCAATGTGATTCCTTATCTAGTAATGTTGAAGAATCCTCTACTTATGCGATATCCTCTCTATATCAATCTATTTTTAGTATTAAAACAAAATTTTCTGAAACATCAGCAATAAGTTTAGATAATTTACAAATAATTGCTGAGTTATTAGCTGATGTGAAATTTAGACCTTTTTCTGTAAAAGTGGATAAATATCAAATTTTTATATACAAATTAGAAAGTTCAAAACAAAGAAAATGGTTAAATGCAAGACCTGATATTTTGCATTATTAGTATATAAATATAAAAAAGATGTGTATTTATTTAGCAAATTGAAGAAAATTTTTTGCAAAATTGATTTTTTATATGAAAATGAAATAATTTATAATTTCAAAGAAAATACTCCAACAGATATATAGAAAAAAAACTGAAATTTTGGCTAAGTTTGATGGAAAGTGACTGTTTGGGTTAGAAGATTCAGTAACTCAGTTTATTTTACAAAAATTTCAGATACCAACATGTAGATAAGATGAATGGTAGATGAATAAATCCTAACTCATTTGTTTAATTATTATTTGAAATAAAAAACAAAATCTAATATTAATTGGCAAAAATTTTTTATTGATTGGTTAAATCAGCCAGTTAATATAATTGAACTAATCAAATCTCTTAGAGAATTTACTAATGTCATCTGAGTGAATGAGAATTAGAAGCGTGACATTTAATGTTGAAAGCATCAGATTATACATGAATTATATCATTTCTAAAAATGTATTTCTGATAAGTAATTTTTTCTTATTTATACTATTTGATAAATAAGTTAAACAAAATATTTACTAATGTATAATTTAATTAAGTATAAATTTTAGACAAAATCAATAATCTTACGTAAGATTAACTTACCTTGAAGATGCTATATAATGAAGGATTTTTGAATTTTTATCCTTCACATCAAAAGCATGATTCAGAGAAAATATGGGATTGTATTTATAATAGCTATAAAGAAAATAATAGAGGTTATGATAGTAAACAAAAAATCTTATCTATTGTTACAAATGAGTATTTGTATCAAGATTTGTAATCTAAACTTGAGGTAAATAATTCTTATATTTATGATGATATAATTTCAATCTTTTAAGAATAATTTTTATTTATTTTAAATTGTAAGTTTCATCTAATGCTATTACAGCTGCTAAATGATATGCTTGTATAAATGGTCTTAGATGTTTACAATTAGAAAAATCTAAGATCTTACATGGAAGAATTACACCCGAGGTATAAGCATAGTTTGATTTGATTTTTTCAGACAAAGCAAATGTTAGCATAAGCTTATATAAAGTTGACTCTAAAATTAATCTCCCAATTTTATATCTATAAGATGATAAGCAAACTTTATGAAAAAAATTTTCAGAAACATATCCATATTTTTATAATGTATTTGAAAAATTAGCAAATTTAATTAGAAATTATGCAAAAGATAATATAAATCAAGTATGTGATATATTTTTAACACAAATATTTGTAGCTTTTATAGAGAATTATTTCTAATTTTATTATAATAAACAGAAAAAAATTTTATATAAAATAGAATTAGTAAAATGATACTTGAAGAAGGATTATAAATATAAGCTTACTATAAATCAATAAGGAAAAATCATTCATGATAATTACGTTGATCATTATCTACCATATACTTTTGGAACTTATACTGATACATATACAGGTCGGTATAAAAATTGTGCAAAATTTTATAATTTTTTCAAAAATTTTTTCACATAAATAGAGCTTATTAAACTTGAATTATTAGATAATCTCCAATAAAAACTTATTTTTTATATGGTTCATCAGATAAGAAAATGCTATCTAAATGCACAAGTTTATGCAAATCTTTTACAATTGAATTATGAAGAAGTGGTATTGATTGTAGATTATAAAATGTGAATTTTTCTAAAAACTGCTTGTGAAATAAAATGACTATTTTAAAAATGCAGGTAGACATTGCATATGATCCTTATATATACAAAACAATAAGATCAATTAAATCTCAATGTATTAGCTTACGACTATTAGTCATCAGATACAAAATAGGATGTTTTGTTTACAGCTTCTTCATTGCATGCTATTTTAACACCTAATCAAATAAGCCTAAATGGATCACTATCATTTCAGATAATAGTTTACACTATCACAATTCTGAATTGATGATCATTTTGTCATATTGGAAAGAATGATATGATATTTATATCAAGAACTGGATTTTTTTAAAGGTGGGAGAAGCAAAGACTGCTATAGATTTCTATCATACTTAGGTTCTGAATTTTATTATTATATAATACGCTAAAAATTTTGATTTTATTATTAATTATATTTGCTATAATAATTTTCTATTTATAATATAACAAATAATTGCTATTAATTTAAAGATAGCTCATGCTATATGAGGTTATGATGTAATATTACTGAAGAAGAAGATATAAAGAATGCTATGAAAGATCTTTGTGATATATCTATTTATTATATAGAACCTAATCGCAAAAATCAAAATAAAAAATTTTCAATATTAGCTGGAATATTAGGATTAAATGGACATGATCAGTCGAAGGATTTCATGCAAGATTTATTCAAGCAAAAGTATTATCAAATATAAACAAATGGAAAAATTACTCTCTAAATCAAATTAAAAAATGGCTAAGACTGAAATAAATAAATTATAGTTATTAATCTTTGAGCCTACAAAAGCAAAAATCTCATGAACAGTTTTAGCAATAAATACAGGTATTGTAAATCTATTTTAATTAAATCAATAATCACTTTATTATTATTATTTCTTATTATCTAATTATATTTAATCACACTAGAAATAAAACCAAAATGATGCTGAATAGAAACTCTAAAAGAAGAATTGAATAATAGAAATATCCTATTTACAAATCAAGATAAAAGTCAACATTAGTAGAATTACTTGAATTGAGCATAATTTCTGAGACAATAATAGGTAATTATATTGCACTCATATAATAATTTGAAGATAGTTTTAAAAAATTTTAAATTTCAAAAAAATAATCAATACCATACCAAATAATGAAAAAATTGTATTGTATGAAGATTTTTTAATTTTGCATGAAATATTTATTTTTTCTTAAAGAAGATTATAACTCACCTTATTTTAACATTGATATTAGTTTTGAATTAAATCATGGATGGGTATTAAAAGATAACTAGATATTTAAAAAAGAGGTAGAACTCGTATACCAAAAGAAGTTATTACTTTATTGTAGGTTTTTTTCAAACTAAAAATGCAAATAAGAGTGATTGTTATTCTGCAAAAGATATGTATGCAAAATTAAATAATATAGCTGATAAAAAGAAAATAAGCGCTAAATCTATACCTAAAATTAATACTATACGTGGTTGAATTACTCAATATGCAGTAGCCAGTAAAGCTGAAATAGCAAAGATAGTATTGAATCGAAAATGTTAAATAATAGTAAATTCTTATAATAAAATAAAGTTTTGGCAAATCATAAAGAAATGATATTTTTTAGAAATAAAAATAGAATAAGTTGAATAAAAAATGATGAATAAATAGACAGTTTTCAAATATTTATAAAAAGGAGTTTTTGTTACAATCAATATGTGTAATCCTAAAATTTCACAATATATAAATTATGCAAAAATCCATAAATGCAATAAAGTAAAAAACGCAAAGAACGTACAGATTGAAATTTTTTTAATATACATAAAGTCTTGATTTTATTGGTTTAAATTTTCATAATTTATCCTATGTTTTATATTAATTACATTATAAAAATTTGAATAAGGGATTTTTATAGAATTTGTAATAAAAATCTATCTAATTAGAAAATTTTATCTGAAAATCAATTATAGATTTTCTATTGATCATCGATGAATTATGAATTAAAAGTTCTATCACTAGAGATCAAATACATCAGAAGCATATTTTATTCTGCTTTACAAAATAAATATAGTAAAAAAGATTATTATTAAAGAAAATATTAAAACAAATTTAGTTACCATATATACAGAATTTATTGATTTAATTTGATAATTTATGATATTTTTTCTATTTGTCTCTAATTTTTTCATTTTTATTAGATATTTTATCATAATCTATATATAGGATGAAAATTTACTTAAAATTCATAGTAATACTTTAGTTGTTAACAATAATTCCTAAAATAAAATTACACAATTTTAATTTCATTGATAATTAACAACAAATTTGAAAGTCTAGATAAAAATATTTGTCTAATACAAAAATTGGATATACTAAATCCAGTTGGAATTGAAAGATCAAATAAAAGAAATCAGGTTAATGTCATAAATCTGGTTTTCAAATGTTTTGTTAATTTGAGTTTCTATTCTTAGATTTAACTTTAAACGAATAAATAAATAGGTTTATTTATTTTTTTTTGTAAATAAAATACTCGCCACCCTTCTGACTAAGCAATGTTAATGTAATTAATCTATTTCATTTTGAATATATATAGTATGAGAGCCATCACTTGTTAGAGACTATCACATCAAAAGGAGACGATACATCAACCAATCATATTTTGAGATTTTTTAATATCTTTCGAAAAATATAATTTTTTGTTTATATATTATTAGTAAAAAGACGCAAATTTTAGCACAAAAACTTTAATTTTTTTTCTTTTTCATTGTAAAAAACTTTTGCAATCATCTTAATAATATGGGATATGATATATATTTTAATAGTGATATTGAAATTAATATTATATTATCTACTTTAGAAAAACTGAAAAATATTTTTTTTGTTAAAAAAAAAAACAACAGATGATAACAGATGATGATGAAAATACATCAGTTAAAGAAATTACAATTAGATTGTTATAGTTAGGTTAAAATTCTATAAATAAGATAAGTATTATTACTAAATATTATTATCATTTTTGTTAATGGAATTAAAAAAAAAAAAAAAGAATTTTTAGAATAAAATAATTATTTGTTTTTATTAAATATTTTATAAACTTCATTAAGACTATATATAAATTTTAAAAAAAAATATATACAAAGAAAGTCAAAAAAAATTTGAGAAGTCTGTTTTTAAAAAATAATTTTTTTGGCAATGATTGGCAAAACTTAATGGCTCAAAATCTTGTAATTGGCATATTGCTCCCTTTTGCTGTAGCGGTTTTCAATTATAATAATAAATATAATAATGTAATAAAATTTAAAATTTTGATCTTTATTAAAACTCACTTAATCTTTCTATTAAATTGTTTGTTAATCTAATTAACTAAAATATCCAT